ACATCTCACCTCCGTCAGACTGTTCTCATTCTTGCAGCTCTAACATTTTGTACTCCTCTCAATTCAAAACTCTTTCTCTCTCCCAAATAATAATAATAAAAAACTCACGTCCCTTTTTTAGAGTCCAATGACAACATATTGATACATTTTTATAAGGCGCAAAAAACCCCCGGGAAAGGTTACTATGACAACAGTCGCTCCTGCGCCATGTATCCCTATGGGGCAGCAGAAAGGGCTGTGGATTAGAAAAGTTTAAATGCGTGTAAATCTTGTTTTCTTTACTTTTTCTAAAACCAAAACACACCAAAATATAAACAACAAGTACCAAGTAAAAGTCATAAAATGTCAACTTCTGGCGTTTTGTTTTGAATACACTAATTAGCATATTAAAGTGAGTGACGGTCAGTTGACCGCTAGGGGCGCTCCTAGTGTTAAACTATAGGGGACACAGTCTGTGAGAAGCCCGAGTAAAGACCACGTGGTTTAAACATTAAAGTTTGAAATGGATCCTTTTAGGAAAAAATCTCTTAAAGCTCTGCATGTTCTGCAGGCTCTGAAAGTTGCAACAATAAAATAGCTCATGAGACAATTGTAATTGGACATGGAAAAATATAACAAAGTTAAATTACAGGCCTTCTGTGTTGTCTATGTGTTTGTGTGTGTTATATGTTTGTGCGTCATGTCAAATACACTACGCTAACCTTAACAAACTCTGGACCAAAATACTAATGTGAGGAGTCGGTGTGTGGCCAAGGAGTGTGTTGTGAAATGAGGAGTGGTGAACGAAGAATGGAATAACAAATGTTTCCTGTAATGTTTTAATGTGAACATTGAATAATTATTTTTGTCAACAGCATACGGTGTAAGTACTAGAGATTCAAAGATAACAAGCTTTATTGAACAGGTGTAAAAGTGAGAGTACTCTGGGATGAGTACTCTGCTGAAAGTACTCTGAGATGAGTACTCTGCTGAAGGTACTGGGAATCCCTCCCTCTGCTGTTTGTCCTGACAGTGACACAGTCCAGCCGCAGTGAACGGTCATTGGTCGGAGGTCAACTTTGGTTTGTAACTCACATTTAGTGGAGTATAAAATTAGAAACATACATTTTGTTAAGTCTGTATTTGGCTACAGCCCCTGCCCTGATGTCACACGACCGTCTGTCAATGCAGTTATGTTTTGCCCAATTGGAATGATTGACAGGCTGCACCATGCGAGGGCAGGGAAGTGGGCATTTTTTGTGTTCTAATGTTTCTTTTTCAGATAAAAGATAAACTACACTTGCTTCAGGGAAAACACAGTAGTATGAAACATGAGAAGGGAATGAGCCTCTTCTTTGGCATCACAGCCCACAATACGAATTGAGGACGACCCGGGAGAAACAACTGGAGATAACTGTAATCTACACACACAGATGCATGTTTTACACTTGGCCCACGACCAAGAGAGGGAGTATTGTAATGTTATTGTCATAGGTGGTCATGATCCTTAAAAATAGAGATTATTTTTAGCCAGTGCTAATATCAAACGGTAAAAGGACCATTTCCTTCATAATATGTCCAAAAGTATTTACTTCAAAAGTAGATAAAGTTCATTACAGTTTATGCACAGTTTTATTAGATACTTGTCAAATTCACTTGTTTCAAACATTGGTGAATGTTGACAATGCAAAAAGTTCATGAGTGTAGCCTAGACTAATGTAGCTTAGATCAATGAGATAGATTAGAACCAACAGAGATTCAAAAACATTTAAAAGCATTTTGATGTATTTGGGTATAGCACAAAAGTAGATATTTAGATATTTTTGAGAATTTTAAAAGCTGTCGATTTGTCAGCACAGATTAGAGAATCGAATACCATTGTAGAGTAACTGACCCCAAAACCTGCTAAAATAGATTAGCTCTTGTACGGATAATACTAATTTGATTAATGATGTACATTCATCCCAAACTGTCTGAGAGGAGGAAGTGACAGCACTTCCTGTTTCAACAAATGTATTTGGAAAACTGACCGCCATAATAATGTTCATATTAACCATTGGTCTTTCTGTGTTCAGTTTTATTCCTGAGAATGTAGAGTAGACATAGAGCAAAATCCCACTGGCACAAAGCCACTGATAATGAAAGTAAACCACAGAGAGATTGATTAGATTAAAATGTATGTTTAAGAATATGGCTTAATAAAAGCAAATATGCAAACATATTTATGAATAGATTAGAATAGTTTTAAACTATAGTGAATAGTTTTAGTGCATACATTACAGACGAGGTAGATGAAGAATCAGAATGACACAGCAGTGGTCATCAAATAGTATTGAAGGAATGGTTCAAATGTGGTTGTGTGTTGTATTCTCTCTGTATTAACTCTTCACAGATATTGAGCCTGAACTGAGCATAAGTTATGCTGGCATTGGAGGATCCCCCCGTCCCGTCACCCGAGGAGGGTTATTGAAAATGTGGCCTTTTTAAGAGCGGCTAAGAGAGGGAAATGTTGTATTAGATATACACTGAACACACTAAACAGATGTGACAATGATGACCGATTGAACTCTGTCTCTTTCTAAGCCAAAAGACCTTGTCTTCCCTTCTTATCTAGCAGTCCAGAGTGCAGGAAATAGTTAATGATAGTTAATCTGGGGGGCCAGGAAGATCTGCATTCCTAGATTCTGTTAATCCACTCAGTTGTTTAGAGAAGGAGATGGATGCCAGACTTTGCAGTGACAGCAGCCTTGAGACACCTGCCTTATCTCAAGGAAGTAATAAATCTATAGGTTGGGGAGTGTAAATGAATCTCATTTTAGGTCTGGAGATGCGGAGGACAAAAGGCCGGATACGGGACCAGAGCTGGCTGATACGACACGCCCCTTCTTCCTGCACATTTACTTGATAATGATCCCATGATGTGTTAGTTTTTAGTCCGGATCAGGGATAGCCGTGTAACTGGGTGGAGCGCCCACCAATGTTATACTTTATATAGAGGATAAGGGATAGTTATTTTTTGGTCCGGGCCGCTGTTTAGATTCTTTTGTATTAGGGAAATAAACTTTTTTGAATTTAACTTTCTGAATCCTGGTCATCTTTATAAGGGATTTTGAACACCCATCCATCCATCCATTTTCTACCCTTTAATCCATTTCTGGGTCAGGGGGGTGGCAGTCAGAGATGCCACCCAAGTCTCATAGCACCAGCCCCTCACTGACCCTCTGCAGGTGGTGAGTCCACAGGAGGACGGCTGCTCTCTGACTGTGAGCATAGCCTTGATCTTTCAGTGGGGGCTTTGGGCAAAGTGGGGTTAAGTGTCTTGCCCAAGGACACAACGACAGCAGTCATCAGTGGGAGTCGGTGGAGAAGGTGCAGAGGTGGGAATTGAACCCATGACCTTCTGGCCTTAAGGCCAATGCTCTACCAACTGAGCTACTGTCGCCCCGGATTTTGAACACGTCATTTTTTTAATACGATAAAGGGTATTCAGACCATCACATCCTGGAAGCCGAGCACAGGCAGAACTGTCATCGCAGACAAAGCCCAACGAGCTCAATAACTTTTACTGTGGCTTCGAGGCCGCTGATCCCTCACCTGTCGTCCTCCATGACTGTATAGAACAAGCAGCCTTTACAGTGACGCAGGAGGAAGTGGGTCCTGTCCAGAACCCTGACTCGGAAAGCTGCAGGCCCAGACGCTATCCCCCCTCGCGTTCTGAAGCTGTGTGCAGAACAACTCGCCCCTGTGCTAACAGACATGTTCGACTGTCTCTGAGGAACTGCACGGTGCCGGCCCGCTTTAAAAAGTCCACCATCATCCTGGTTCCAAAGAAAACTCCAGAGACGGGCCTAAAAGACTATTGTCCGGTTGTCTTCATGTCTGTTCTGATGAAGATCTTTGAGCGGCTTGTATTGGACTCAGTGCTTAATTTGAATCGGCACCGGTACCTCCAAAGTTGGATCCGGCTCCTCCACACGTGTGCACGATCAAAATATCTACGAAGTTCCTACAACAGTGTGTCTGATCTGGATCTATGCTCCCAACATTTTACTGGGAGGAGAAAGTATCAGTAAGAAGCAGACTTCTTTGTTGTCCAGAAGGATTTTGGACTTTCCTAATCCAGCAGAACCACCAGCAGCTGATCACAGAAACAATGAGCACTAGGGAACTAGTGTTCTGATGATAGAGACACAATTCAATATCATTGCGAGGACACAGGACTTCATTAGCAACGCACGGTGGCTGAGTGGTTAGCACTTCTCAGTAAGAAGGTCCTGTTTAGGGACTGGTGTTTCTTTACTGTGTCCACAGTTGCTCTCACAAACACACATTCACCCTGAACTATTGAACATGTGTTCAGTGGTAGAGGGCCACCTACAGACACGGGGAGAACATGCAAACCCTCACACAGAAAGGCCTTGTCTGGAGGTGGAATTGAGCCAGGACCTTGTGAAGCACAAGTGCTAACCACTCTGCCACTGTGTGGGGATTATTGTCTTCCTTTTGTACATCATGATGTTAATGATGTACTGGCCCCGCCCCCGTCTCTGTGAGGAGTGAGAGACTAATGCCTCAATAATAAACCGCTTTGACTCTGGTCTGAGAAAGGCGCTATATAAATAAACATTACTTACTTCTCTTCATTTCTTTCTTTCACTGTGAAATCTACAGGTTTGTGCCTCAAACCTATGAAATATGAACCTTCTTTCTTTTCTCACATCACAGCCCGCTCCAGGTCAGAAGAGAACATTCACACAATATTTCCCCAAAAGAGTTTTAAAATCTTATCATTTAGTTTGAACCATGAAAGCGCTACAGTCTCACTCTTGTAAGTTATATCTGACCAAAGTTCTCCTGTTTTAGGTCTTTTGGGTTTCCTTCAACAATCTCTCCCAATTATTGGATGGAATTCTGTTCCATTCCTCCTGACCGTCATAAAGCCTCTTTGTGACTGAAGCATAAATCATTTCCTACATGGGCTTTCCCCTTGGATTGATCAAATGAAAGCAGGTTATTGCAGAATGTCATGTTTGACATTAGATCGTGTTGAGGCGTCAGCAGAAGAGTATTGTCCTGACTCAGAGCTCGTGTTTGCAGTGAAACAGAGACGCTCCGTGTTGCAGACACAGATGAGAATCCAGACTGACGTGGACCTGAGTGATGCAGCCGTCTCTGAGCAGCTGCTCAAACTGGTGCGTCCATGTCTTATGTTCAGTCTGTACAACCTCACTCACTCTGATTCTTTCTGAAACAGCTCCAAGAAAGACTCCAGGAGAAAAGCTCTTGGACTGACTTCAAACTGCGATGGAGCAAGGCCCCAGAAAAGCAAGACTCTACATAAGTTTATGAAAAGGCCAACTTTCTGACATGTGATAGATTGAGTTACGTTTATGATACAGCTTCATCTTTAGGCCTCTACTTCCTGTTTGCCCTAAACTAAAGAAATCCTCTGAAACACGTCGGCAGGTTGCTTGTCCATAAAGGACTTTCATGTCTCTAGATTGTTCTTCCTGTTTTGCTACTGACCTGGATTTGTTTTAGCTCCATCCACCAACCATGCCCCCTGCCCATCTGTCTAAATGCTCTGTTTTAAACATTTACATGACATCGTGCACAGAGCCTTTGGTCTTTTCTGTTATTAATGCTTAATAGACACAGTGGTGGTAAACTCCTGTGAATGAAATCTGAATGAACATGAAAGGTTTATAAAAGTAAATGATTATCTCTTGATTCAAATACAGAACATATTATCTGTGGTTCTGTGCTGCAGTAAGGTCAGCTGAGAGATGGGCAACGTGTTTTCTACAAAATGTGTCAAAGGACTGCTCCAGGTCCAAACCGATGCATGTATCAGTGTTGTATCAGACCAAAGGAAAGCCTGGAGCTATGTCAATCATGACTTCATTTCTTTAATATCTGAAGTAGATGTTCTTTCTTTACTCTAATGTCTATTTAATGTTTACTAATTGGATCATTGGGGCAGAAGGCTTCAGAGAGCTGCCCGGTGGTATGGCTGACGTGGTGGTTTTTCCTTTGTTTACAGTGTATCTCACATTTACTGATGAATAAACTCACACTTTGATTGTTTTGCAGCACTGGGTTGTTTACATTGTTTTTCTTCTTTATGCTTTCGGTCTGTACAGAAATTCCACAACATTCCTATCGTAGCCACAGCTGGTAGAAGATAAGATAAACTTTATTGATCTCACAGTGGACAAATGTACATGTCACATTTGGCCTGTAGAGCAAGGATGCAAATCTACACGTTTGCACATTAGCTTCTAAGATCTGCAATCTGGAGTCTTTTCTAACACTGTGGAACATGGACTGTTTATAGATGGACAATGCTAACCCGCTAGCATCGAAGCCCAATAGGGAGGTGCTCAGGTTCTGCAGCAGCTCACTTGGGCTCCTATTGACTTACATTGAAAAGTAAACTCCTCTCGATCAGTAACTGTGTCTCACCATTTTGGGCTTAAAGAAAATGGTCAAAGAGAGAGAAGCAGGTCGAGGAGGGAGAGGAGCAGGTCAAAGAGAGAGAGAAGCAGGTCAAAGAGAGGAGCAGGTCAAAGAGGGAGAGGAGAGGGTCAAAGAAAGGAGCAGGTCAAAGAGAGAGAGGAGCAGGTCAAAGAGAGAGAGAAGCAGGTCAAAGAGAGGAGCAGGTCAAAGAGGGAGAGGAGAGGGTCAAAGAGAGGAGCAGGTCAAAGAGAGAGAGGAGCAGGTCAAAGAGGGAGAGGAGCAGGTCAAAGAGAGAGAGGAGCAGGTCAAAGAGGGAGAGGAACATGTCAAAGAGAGAGAGGAGCAGGTGAAAGAGAGAGAGGAGCAGGTCAAAGCGAGAGAGGAGCAGGTCAAAGAGGGAGAGGAGCAGGTCAAAGAGAGAGAGGAGCAGGTCAAAGAGAGAGAGAAGCAGGTCAAAGAGAGAGAGAAGCAGGTCAAAGAGGGAGAGGAACATGTCAAAGAGAGAGAGGAGCAGGTCAAAGAGAGAGAGGAGCAGGTGAAAGAGAGAGAGGAGCAGGTCAAAGCGAGAGAGGAGCAGGTCAAAGAGGGAGAGGAGCAGGTCAAAGAGAGAGAGGAGCAGGTCAAAGAGAGAGAGGAGCAGGTCAAAGAGAGAGAGAAGCAGGTCAAAGAGGGAGAGGAACATGTCAAAGAGAGAGAGGAGCAGGTGAAAGAGAGAGAGGAGCAGGTCAAAGAGAGAGAGGAGCAGGTTAAAGAGGGAGAGGAGCAGGTCAAAGAGGGAGAGGAGCAGGTCAAAGAGAGAGAGGAGCAGGTTAAAGAGGGAGAGGAGCAGGTCAAAGAGAGAGAGGAGCAGGTCAAAGAGGGAGAGGAGCAGGTCAAAGAGAGAGAGGAGCAGGTCAAAGAGAGAGAGGAGCAGGTCAAAGAGGGAGAGGAGAAGGTCAAAGAGGGAGAGGAGCAACATACATTATGAACGCAGGGGAAATGTAGGTACCTCAGCTTTAATGTAGTGAGTTGTAGGTTCAGGGCGACAGGAGGAGACACGGGGACACTTCAGAGGCTCACATGGTTCAGATGTATTTCTCACATGGTTCAGATGTATTTCTCACATGGTTCAGATGTATTTCTCACATGGTTCAGATGTATTTCTCACACATGCGGTTCAGATGTATTTCTCACATGGTTCAGATGTATTTCTCACATGGTTCAGATGTATTTCTCACATGGTTCAGATGTATTTCTCACACATGGTCCAGATGTATTTCTCACATGGTTCAGATGTATTTCTCACACATGGTTCAGATGTATTTCTCACACATGGTTCAGATGTATTTCTCACATGGTTCAGATGTATTTCTCACATGGTTCAGATGTATTTCTCACATGGTTCAGATGTATTTCTCACATGGTTCAGATGTATTTCTCACATGGTTCAGATGTATTTCTCACATGGTTCAGATGTATTTCTCACATGGTTCAGATGTATTTCTCACATGGTTCAGATGTATTTCTCACACATGGTTCAGATGTATTTCTCACATGGGTCAGATGTATTTCTCACACATGGTTCAGATGTATTTCTCACATGGTCAGATGTATTTCTCACACATGGTTCAGATGTATTTCTCACATGGTTCAGATGTATTTCTCACACATGCGGTTCAGATGTATTTCTCACATGGTTCAGATGTATTTCTCACATGGTTCAGATGTATTTCTCACATGGTTCAGATGTATTTCTCACACATGGTCCAGATGTATTTCTCACATGGTTCAGATGTATTTCTCACACATGGTTCAGATGTATTTCTCACACATGGTTCAGATGTATTTCTCACACATGGTTCAGATGTATTTCTCACATGGTTCAGATGTATTTCTCACATGGTTCAGATGTATTTCTCACATGGTTCAGATGTATTTCTCACATGGTTCAGATGTATTTCTCACATTGTTCAGATGTATTTCTCACATGGTTCAGATGTATTTCTCACATGGTTCAGATGTATTTCTCACATGGTTCAGATGTATTTCTCACATGGTTCAGATGTATTTCTCACATGGTTCAGATGTATTTCTCACATGGTTCAGATGTATTTCTCACACATGGTTCAGATGTATTTCTCACATGGGTCAGATGTATTTCTCACACATGGTTCAGATGTATTTCTCACATGGTCAGATGTATTTCTCACACATGGTTCAGATGTATTTCTCACATGGTTCAGATGTATTTCTCACACATGCGGTTCAGATGTATTTCTCACATGGTTCAGATGTATTTCTCACATGGTTCAGATGTATTTCTCACACATGGTCCAGATGTATTTCTCACATGGTTCAGATGTATTTCTCACACATGGTTCAGATGTATTTCTCACACATGGTTCAGATGTATTTCTCACACATGGTTCAGATGTATTTCTCACATGGTTCAGATGTATTTCTCACATGGTTCAGATGTATTTCTCACATGGTTCAGATGTATTTCTCACATGGTTCAGATGTATTTCTCACATGGTTCAGATGTATTTCTCACATGGTTCAGATGTATTTCTCACATGGTTCAGATGTATTTCTCACATGGTTCAGATGTATTTCTCACACATGGTTCAGATGTATTTTGTGTGGTTTCATGAAAGTAAAAAGTACATGATAAGAACAAGCATTTGCAAATGGAGAAAGCTTCTGCAGTCGCTCCTCGGACCCTGCATCAGTCTCTGACACACAATGGGATTCACACAAGCTTTATCAGGATGGTCTGGTCCCTCATTGGCCAATGGCCACAGGAAAAACACATGTCACACCGCTGCACTGATACATGAAAATAGGTAACTCAAGGTATGAAGAGCAGAGGAACAAGGGGGGGTTAAGGGGGTCGAGAGGACAGAGGCAGAGGACACAGGAACAGGACACTGTCCCAATCCAAGATCACATCATCCACACGATAAGGAAAACAGTCACATCAAAGGACACGGTCTGTTATGGGTGAGTTTCGAACCCCAAAGCAGAGGGAGGCCAAAGCAGTTTAACAAAAGTCTTTAATTAACCAAAAATACTAAAATACTCAAAGGGAAGGAGCAGTGGAGACAGGGAGCAGGCCGGCTGGAGAGCAGAGCGGAGACAGCTGGACGAGCACAGGATCTGGAAATGCAATATGAAGGTGAGTAGTGATGGGTCCAGCAACACTGATACAGCGGCGCATGTGCCGAGTTCGTTTAGCCAAACCCCGTATCGGCGCGCGTGTCGCTTTAAGGTAAAGCCACGTGACCGATACAGATGCTGTATCGCTTGTCACTGACGCAGCAAACTGTGTTTAGAAGGTTCCGCATCTGCAAGTGTCACCGGGATAAATCTCTCTCAGAAAAAGATTGCAACCCTATCAAAAAGAAAAAACATCCCTTTCTCCAGCGTCAAAATGGAGCCTGCCACTAAAAGAGAATATTCTGCAGTGTGGGATCATTTTGATTTGTTAAATAAGGTAATGTTTGTATTTCATGTTTCACGCCTTATCTACAATGAATATTTAATTTCATGCAGGTCAAATGTCGCATTTGTTCTTCTGAACTTGCATATGTAAATAAAAGCACGTCCTCAATGCTCAGGCATTTTAGGACGAAGCATGAGCGTGATTTAAATACACCCAGCATTAACGAAGGTATACAGATATAGAACGACTTCTTCATGGTTGTTTTATTAATATATGTTGTATTATTATGTCACATCAGCATCTAGGAAGAATGCTTTGGACCAGGCAGTCCTGGATTTGGTCGTGAAGGAGTGCCTGCCCCTCAGCATTGTGGAGAGTGAGGGGCTTAAGGACCTCATTCGGCTGCTTGATCCTTCATACACTTTGCCATCTAGAAAAGTTTGCATAGAAAGATTTGCTGATATTACTTATGCAATATCCTGAGTAATAACTTATGTAATATAAGGGTTAGGGGTGGGAACCTAAGGGTACCTCACGATACGATACGATACACGATACAAATCTCACGATAACGATAATACGATTTTATCACGATATGACGATTATTGATATATTGGTCAGAAATATACAATATGCCAATTTATGGCATAAATAAAATAAAATAAACTCTTTATTTAATGATAAATAGAATGGAGATGCGTAATGTACCCATATATTAAGTATTGATACCAATAAAAAAAAAAAATAACATTCTTTTTTTTTTTTTATCGATATTGATATTTGGCAAATGCATATCGATAATCGAATCGCGGGAGAAAGTATCGCGTCACACCCCTAATAAGGGTACAACGATAACTAAATGTATACCAGCACGAGGTGCATGCCACAACAACCAAAATATTGGGCCTCATTCACGAACGGTTCTTAGGAACAGATTTGTACGTAAATCCTACTTACGAGGTTTTTACGAAGAAAGTGGCATTCACAAATTTTTCTCGTAACCAGAATTTCTCTTGGGCAAGTACAAATCCTACGAGTCCTCAGGAGCACTCGTACGCATTCAGTGCCGACATGTTCACACGCGGGGGTTGTCCTCTTTGGTGAAGTTGAATAAAAATACAACATTCCAGTGATATGTCCGTCATATCGATGTATGTATTTATTTATTTGTAGTAATCTTTATTAGTAATCTTTATTTATATACCGCCTTTTTCACTGCAGATCTGGCCTACTTTTTAATTCATTTTGAAATGAAATGTACCAACGCTTTATCAAATACATTGGAAATCTTGCCGTGTATTAGTGACCCCTTCCTATTTATAGGGGGCATTTCTTTATCCACGGGCCACAGAACAACGGCATATATACTGCTGCTGCAGGAGGTTATGGGTCCGCGCTGAGTCTCTGCGCTGGTCTCTCCCATGGATCTATACGGGTCTGCACTGGTCTCTCCCATGGATCTAGACGGGTCTGCACTGGTCTCTCCCATGGCTCTATACGGGTCTGCACTGGTCTCTCCCATATACGGGTCTGCACTGGTCTCTCCATACGGGTCCGTGCTGCATGCTCCTGGATCCATACGGGTCCGCGCTGGTCTCTCAAGTCTGGTCTATGCGGTCTCTCTTCGGTCCGCGCTGGTCTCTGTGTGCTGGTCACTCCAGTCTCTCCTCGGGTCTGCATTGGTCTCAGCGCTGGTCCGCGCTGGATCTCCTCCCAGGGTCCAAAATATTTTGAGATTAATCTCAAAACATTTTGAGATTCATCTTTAAAATAATACATAATATATTTTTAAATTAAGCTCATAACATTTTGAGATTAATCTCATCATATTCTTAGATTAATCCCATAATTTTGCTAGTTCGACTTTATTCTCATAATATTTCGACTTTTAAGTCAACATTTTATAACTTTATTCTCAGTCTGGCAAAAGAAGAAAAAAGGGTGACTCTTTTGCTCCGTGTAACTCTTTGCTGTTCAGCAACTCTTTGTTGCTGTTTCCTCTGGCGTCTGCACACGGCCCTGCAGTCCCTTATATGGGCATTAATGGGCGGTTACCTATGCTAAGTACCTATGCTAATGAAGCACAGGGCACGCGCGCTGTACTTACGAGGAAATGGCATTCATCAATCTGAGAGAACAGCTGCAAACAATTCAGCGCCTTACGAGCGCGTTGATGAATCCCACGTAGGCTCTTCTTAGAAATCTACTTAAGAACGACTTGAAAAGAAATTTAAGAAGTTTCTTACAAAGTTATTCGTGAATGAGGCCCATTGTTTCTCAAATGGTTCATCAATTACTATGTGTATTTAACCACAATTTCACTTTAATGCTACATTTCTTTTTCACAGCAAAGTACAGTGGTATTTACTCACAAAATAGAAAAAATTGTAATTTCCTTTATCATCTATTGGTTGTTCAAAATTACACACAATACAGAGAACACCATATTGCTGGATGTTTTCTTGCTTTAATGACAGATGGTCTGATTCATCTTATATTGATATGATTGTCATTTTCAGACTCTCAAGGAAAAACTGGAACGA